GGGGCAGGGAAAGCACTTGTGCCTGTGGAGGACCTCTCTAAGCGAGGGTCATGCTGAGAAGAAACCTAGAGGGACAGAAACCTAGAGGGGTGCATGTCCCAGATATCCTGGAGGGGACCCAGGTGTGAACACCTGGCCCTATATCCCCGGGTTTGGGGCTCCTAGAACCCGAGTCCTGTCCATTCTTCCCAGGGAAGGAGGGAGGGCAGCTGAGCCTCCTTTTCTTGGGGGATAGGAGGCAGTGGCCATGTGCCCCTGACCTTCCCTGGAGGGTACTTTCTGCCTGTGGGAACAGCCTGGGCCCTGGGCAGAAGAACGTGCCATCCCTGGGTGTTTGCTCAGGAACCAAGGGTGGGGCACATCAGCTCTGGCTGTCAGGCTGTCGCTGGGCTCCAGGCTCCCAGGGACCCAGCGGGCACCTGTCTCCCTACCCCCTCACCCATTCTCTCTCTCTGGGGCCCTATCTTCCCTTATATGGTGAAGGCAGGTCCTAGAGCAGGGGGGGTGGGGACAAAGGTCGCTCTCCTGCAGTCAGCTTACCACAATTCCCTGAGATCTCCTAGGTGGCAGCTGCCTCCCTGAGACAGGTAAGGTAACCTGTGGGGACACATGGGGACCGTAGGTGGTGGGAGGGAAGAGGGTCCCCTGCTTTTTGCTGGCAGGCTGGGGCCTCCTGTGCACCTCGGTGTGGGCTTGAGGAAGAAGTTTGGCACTCTGGAGAGTCTGGGAAGAGTCAGGAGTCCAACGTGTCTGTCCTGGACCTGCACGGAGAGAACTGAGCAGGCCCTGTCCTGGACACCTGCTCCTTCAGGCCCCCCGCCTGTGGCTAGCCACCACCCCACTTTGGGTGTCAACGATCCCGGATTGCCCTGGAACTTCTAGAGCGAAAACCAGGACAGCCCTGGGCAAACCGGGACCAGCTGGTCACCCTGACCTCACTCTCTGATCCCCCACCTTGTCTCTTCGCCCACTGCTTCCTCATCTAAAAGGTTTCCTTCTGTGTCTCACCGTTTCCCTAACTCTCCTGGGACCTGCCTCCTGGGTGCTAGGGGTGAGCAGCAGCCACCAGGAACGGAATGGGCAAAAGCAGGCATGGGCAGCAGGGGGCTGGAGGTGGCAGGGCTTCGGGTCCTGGTCCACACCGGGTCACCCTAGCATGCACCTCTGCCCCACCTCCCCTCCACTTCAACCTGTGCCCTTGGCCTGCCCAGCCACGTGGCCCCATTTGGCTAAAATACAGGTGGGAGTCAGGTTCAGACCAGGGTCCTGGGACACACCAGCCACCACCTTCTCAGGAAATCATTTGCTCAGGCATCCTCCAGGTCATTGATGGGCAGAGCCTGTGGACCGGAGGGTCTGGGCAGGTCCACTCCCTGTGCTATCATGGGCCTAGGAAGCGAGAGGATGTCCTCTGACAGAGAAGTGGAGCCTCACTCCTGTCTGACCACATCTCTGTTCAGCTCAGAACTGCACGATTGGGAACTAAGAGCCATGGCAGCAACTTGGAGCTGTCTGGAGCTGTACCCCACAAACAACAGGGTGCAGATAAGAAAGGCACCTGTGGAGAGCAGGAGCCTGCACACCTCCAGGGTCCTGAGAGGGCTCTCCCTTCATCCCACAGTTCAGCCTGTCATCATGAGTTTTTTGTGGAATTGGAGTCTCACTTTGTCACCAGGCTGGAGTGCAGTGGCGCACTCACAGCCACTTCAGTGTCAACCTTCTGGGCTCCAGCGATCCTTCCACCTCAGCCTTCCAAGTAGCTGGAGCTATGGGCACACACCACCACACCCAGTTAATTTTTATTTTATTTTATTTTATTTTGAATTGGAGTCTCACTCTGTCGCCAAGGCTGGAGTGCAGTAGCACACTCACGATCACTGCTGGACTCAGGCGATCCTTCCACTTCAGACTTCCAAGTAGCTGAAACTACAGGCGTGTGTTACCATACCGGCTTTTTTTTTTTAATTTATTGTGGAGACGAAGTCGCACCAAGATGCCCAGGCTGGTCTCAAACCCGAACTTAGACAATCCTCCTGCCTTGGCCTCCCAAAGTGCTGGGATTACAGACTTGAGCCACTTAGCCTGGCCTCTAATTTTCAAAAAATGAATTGTAGGGACAAGGTCTCGCCAAGTTGCCCAGGCTGGTTTTGAACCCACAGGCTCAGGCAATCCTCTTGCCTCCACCTCCCAAAGTGCTGGGATTGCAGGCGTTTTTTCATCACCATGTAGTCAGGGGATCCAGAGATGGATCAATCTAGAACAACTTGGAATCCCCAAGGAGAGGCCCCTCATCGAGCCTGAGGATTCTGGAAACATCTTCTGGAAGAAATAGGACCAAAATTGGGCCTAGAAGAGCATGTTAGTGTCAGGCAAGTGAAGAAAGGGGGGGAGCAATTTGGTGGAGGGATGGTACCGGTAGGTGGGGCGTGAGAGGTGACATGGGTCTGGGGCCAGAAGGCAGCCTGGCATTTACAGAAGGCAGAGTGCCAGCAGACAGGGGCAGGGGTGTGCGTGTAGCAGGAAGACTCCGAGAGTGTAGGTGGATACGAGGGCAGGAGAGGGGAAAGGTCCGTGATGGTGCATAGATGGCTGGCTTTGGGGTCTCAGGGTGACCGTGCCCTTCCCTGGTCTGAGGACATAGAAGAGAGTATCAGGAGCAAGGGGAAACCAGTGAGTTCAAGCTGAGGGAGAAGATAGCTTAGATCCTAACCAGGGCCTGTGCTGGCCTGTGCTGTTCTGGGGAGACAGCAACGATGGGGAGGCCCCACTGAGGCGTGAGGAGGCTTCTTCTCTGACCAACATGGATCAAGAGCTGCTGGAGAGTACCCACATAACAGGGCAGGCCACTTCTCAGAGCTGTCCCTCCACCTTTGGCCTGTGGAGACTGGTCCTCTCCCCGTTCAGGCTGTTGCAGGCCCCAGTCCTGGTTTCTCTCCAGGGAGGGAAAGCACTGGCTTTTCAAGTCTCTGCTTCCCCGAATCCCTTCTCTGATGGGCAAGAAGTGCCTCGGCATGTCTACCCTTTATTCTTCTTGCTACTGGTTTACTCCTGAATCAGAGCATGTCCCTGGGTAGGACTTTAGAGATCATCTTTTTCGTTGACCTCTTGCAGATGAAAAAATTGAGGTCCACATGCATACAGCTAGTGAGTGTCAAAGGAAAAGGGGCATGGAGACAAAGATGGTGATTGAAATACAATAGAAGGATTCTTGTCTTTTGTACTCAAATTTGTTCAGCTGAGCCAGGAATCCTGGGAGCCCTAGGGACTCTGTGGGTTGAAACATATCCGGTGGAGGATGCCACAGTCACCTAATAGTGGAGGCCATGGTTGCCTGATGGAGAAGCCTATGGCCAACAGGCCATCAGACAGGATCCAGGCACAAGGGGCTCCTGCACGCACACAGCAGTCTGTCAATGATCAGCAGGTGGCCTAGACTGGCTGGAAGGGACATTGATCTGACACTGGGCAGTGCCTTGCCACTAACTCCAGAATGCCAGGCAGAGTGGCCACCCTCGGGGCTTAGAAAAGGGAGTTTCCAAGGAGTAAAAGACCGGGTCATTAATTGTTCCGGAGGTGACTCAGAGCCAAGGTGCAAGGAGAGATTAGATAGAGATCCCAGGCTGCCGGTGTGTAGAGCCCGGTCAGGGGGCCCACTCGACCTTTCCCTTGTTATTAATCAGTCCAAGGAGCATTCACGGAGGTAGCCGCATGCCAGGCTGCATGGTAGGCTTTGTGGAGATTGGAGTGGCCTCAGCCTGATGAGGAGGGGCCTCAAACCGCTGAGGGTTATCACTAGGAACAAGTGACTCTCTGCCCTCACCCAGGATCACTGGGGAGTTTTCAAAACACCCATATCCCGCCTCCCAAAAGAATATCCTTGCCTGGGTCCCACCCCAACCTAATTAAATCAGAATCCCTAGGGATACAGCATGAGCGTGGAAGCATCAGTATTTTTCCAACACTCTCCAGGTGATTCTGATGAGCAGCTGGAGTGAAGAACATGGCTTCAGGTCAAAACAGAAAGGGCAGATAGAAGAGAAGCTTGGGGAAGGGAGACTTCTTCCAGTTCAATAGGTGGAGAGTTGTTCACTGGGAGGCTTCATTCACTCACTCATTCATTCATTCATTCATTCATCCATCCATCCATCCATTCATCCCTCCATCATACCCCCTTTCTTCCTTCCTTCACCCAGCAAAGTGCTGGCACTGTCTGGACCCTGGGGACTCAATACTGAACAAGCAGAAATGCCCCCAACCCTTGTGGGATCGACATCTTGTGGGCCACCAGAACAGTACCTCAGAGATGTTTTGGGGGGGCAGCCTGGGGGGTGACAGGAAATTGTTGCACGTACTTTTGAAAAAACTGTGGTCATATGGCCGGGTGCCGTGGCTCACGCCTGTAATCCCAGCACTTTGGGAGGCCGAGGTGAGAGGATTGCCTGATCCCACGGGTTTGAGACCAGCCTGGGCAACTTGGCGAGACCTCATCTCTACAATACATCAAAAATTAGCCGGGCGTGGTGGTACATGCCTGTAGTTCCAGCTACTTGGAAGGCTGAGGCGGAAGGAACACCCAAGCCTGGCAGGTCGAGGCTGTGGTGGCTGTGAGCATGCCACTGCCCTCTAGCTGAGGTGACAGAGTGAGACTCCAACTCAAAATAAGTAAGTAAATAGATAAATAAAATAAAATTGTGGTAACATACACAGAAGTTTTACCATTTTAGACTGGTGTGGAGATAGTGAGCTATCTCAACTGATTGCCCAGTCAGTTACAGATCAGCTCCTTGTTTTGTCTTCCTTTTTACTACTGCACTTGACTAGTCTTGACAGCTTTTTCCCCCTATTTTATCTATTTTAAAGCATACAATTCATAGGCACTCAGCACATCCACAATGCAACTATCACCACCATCAAGTTCCAGAACTTTTTTAGCATCCCAAATGGACCCATTAGCTGTCATTCCCCATTTCCCCCTCCCCCAGCTCCAAGCAACCACTACTCTGCTTTCTGTCTCTAAGGATTTTGCCTGTTCTAAGCATCTCTTACAACACGTGGTCGCTTGTGACTGGTCTCTTTCACGCAGTACAGTGTCTTCAAGATTCATCCATGTTGTAGCATCCATGTTGCAGCATTTATCAGCACTTCATTCCCTTTTATGGCTGAATAGTTTTCCACTGTGTGGCAATACCACATTTTGTTTATCCGTTTGTCTGTGGATGGACATTCTGGCTATTGTGAATAGAACTGCCATGAACTTCAAGATCAAGCTTTTGTTGGAAAACCTGTTTTGAATGTTTTGGGTGCATACACTATTAAGCTTTTATTTATGCTTTCCCTTTTTTTTTTTGCTTTTGAGTCAGAGTCTCACTCTGTCACCCAGGCTGGAGTGCAGTGGCACGCTCATGGCCACTGCAGCCTCAACCTGCTGGGCTCAGGCCATCTTTCCGCCTCAGCCTTCAAAGTAGCTGGAACTACAGGTGTACACCACCATGCCTGGCTAATTTTTCTTGATTTACTGAAGAGCTGCAGTCTTGGCAAATTGCCCAGGCTGGTGTCGAACCTGTGGGCTCAGGAAATCCTTTCACCTCAGCCTCCCAAAGTGCAGGGATCATAGGTGTGAGTCACTGCGCCCAGCCTCTTTTCTATTTTTTTTTAAAACTCTATATAAGGAAAATTTGACTTTTGAACTCGTAAGGACTTCCTTTTGCTTTTTCCGGAGACGCTGTGTGAAGGCACTCAGAATGGTCCAGCGTTTGACATACTGTCGCAGGCTTTCCTATAATACAGCCTCTAACAAAACTAGGCTGTCCCGAATGCCTGGTAATAGGATTGTTTACCTATATACCAAGAAGGTTGGGAAAGCATCAAAGTCTGTGTGTGGTGTGTGCCCAGGCACACTTCAAGGGGTTCGTGCTGTGAGACCTAATGTTCTTATGAGGTTGTCCAAAACAAAAAAACATGTCAGCCGGGCCTATGGTGGTTCCATGTGTGCAAAATGTGTTCGTGACAGGATCAAGCGTGCTTTTGTTATTGAGGAGCAGAAAATCATCGTGAAAGTGTTGAAGGCACAAGCACAGAGTCAGAAAGCAAAATAAAGAAATGAAGCTTTTTTTTCTGTAATAAAAATTAAAAGCTGCAAAAAAAAAAACAACAACTCTATATAAGTTTTGAAGAGATAGAGTCTTGCTATGTTGCCCAGGTTAGATTCAAACTGAGCTCAAGCAATCCTCCTGCTTCAGTCTCTTGAGTAGCTGGGATTACAGGCATGCGCCACTGTACCGATCTGTATGATTTTTTTCACCAAGCATGACTTTGATAAAAAATAAAAAAAGCCAAAATGCAAAATTATTTAGGGCTAGATAAAGAAGGGCCTTGGCTGGGCTCAGTGGCTCAGCCTGTAATCCCAGTGCTTTGGGAGGCTACGGTGAGTGGATTGCCTGAGCCCGTGGGTTCGAGACCCGCCTGGGCAACTTGGCAAGACCTCACCTCTACAATAATCAAAAAAAATTAGCCAGGCATGGTAGCGTGCACCTGTAGTTCCAGCTACACGGAAGGCTGAGGTGGAAGGATCGTCAGAGCCCAGCAGGTCGAGGGTGCAGTGGCCGGGAGCGGCCATTGCACTCCAGTCTGGGTGACAGAGTGAGACTCCGACTCAAAAAAAAAAGAGAAGGACCTTGAGTGTCAGGATAAGGAGTAGGGACTTTATTCAGCAGGTGACAGGGAGTTGGGGCAGGCATTTGAGCAAGAGTGTCAAGCTCAGAGCAGGATAGGGGGCTGGAGGCTAGGACCTTGACGAGCAGGGCTCAGAATGGGGAGTCAACCCCTTTTCCTCCCCGGACCTGAGCCTGCGGCCTCCTGGCACTGCTGGGCACTCTCTAGGGCCAGGCTGGAAGGGCAGCACCTGACACCCCCGTTGCTCCCAGCTCCTCCGCCCTTGTCCCCATGTGCCTTCTCCCGTAGGCTCATTCACCATGACCAAACTGAGCGCCCAAGTCAAAGGCTCTCTCAACATCACCACCCCGGGGCTGCAGATATGGAGGATCGAGGTGAGGCCCTACCTGGGCGTGAGGGGCTCACAGGTCTGGGGTGGAGCGAGGGAAGGCAGAGGCCTGGGGTTGCTCTTGGTTTCCTCCAGTTCTGCCCTGCTGTCTGCCCAGGAGTTCCTCCCCTCCCCCACCATCATCTATACCTGCTCTTCCTTCTCCCTTTCCTTTCCCTCCATTTCTTCCTCTTCTGTCTTTCTTTTTTTTTTTGAGTTGGAGTCTCACTCCGTCACCCAGACTGGAGTGCAGTGGCTGCTCCCGGTCACCGTAGCCTCCACCTGCTGGGCTCCGGCGATCCTTCCGCCTCAGCCTTCCAAGTAGCTGAACTACAGGCACGCGCAACCATGGCCGGCTTATTTTTGATTTATTGTAGCGGTGAGGTCTCGCCAAGTTGCCCAGATGGGTCTCAAGCCCGCGGGCTCAGGCAATCCACTCACCTCAGCCTTCCAAAGTGCTGGGATTACAGGCTAAGCCACTGAGCCCGGCTCCTCTTCTGTCTTTCAAACTTCCTCTCTACTTCCTCACCTGTCTCTTCTTTTCGTCCCTTTTTTTGAATCGGCGTCTCACTCCGTTACCCAGGTTGGAGTGCAGTGGCATACTCACGGCCACCCCAACGTTGACCTTTTGGGCTCAGGTGATCCTTCTGCCTCAGCCTTCCAAGTAGCCGGAACTACAGGTGTGCACTACCACACCCAGCTAATATTTTGATTTTTATTGTAGAGATGAGATGTCACCAAGTTGCCCAGGCTGTTATTGAACCTCGGGCTCCTGTAATCCTCTCACCTCAGCCTCCCAAAGTGCTGGGATTACAGGCTTGAGCCACTGCGCCTGGTCCCTTCTTTTTTTTTTTT